ACTTTACTGAGGTACAGCCACCCAATTCACTTCAAACAGAAATCCCAGAGGTAGCTGGGCAATGAGCTCACTGTTACTTTTGAGACATAAGCTTGTTTTAACACTTTAAATGCCATGGGCCATGAACTAGGTTTCATTGCATCAAGTACCAGTTAGAGTAGCAAACAGTGCAAAAAGTGCAACAGGGCAGCCCAGGGTATTGTATGTTGTAAAGTGAACATACAAAAAATAAGCCAAAAAAGGTTTTGATTTCAGTCGGTGAGCCAATCAGAAAGATTTTCCTTCACTTCCCGCCCCTGTGGTACCTAAACAAAGAATGGGAAGATTGGCTGTCACCAGAACAGGAAGGCACAGACAGCAATTAAAGGTAACCCTTCCCTGCTCTATTCAAAACAAAATAAGTTTAGCTTTTAAGTTAAAATTAAACTCATACTAAAAGGTTGACACTACACTAAAAACTGGAAAAAAAAAATACTTACAGTAAAATGCAGCCTGCTGTCAGTTTCAAGTAAAATATCAAGCTGCAACTCCATAATGTCATCAGGCATAAATGTTTTGATGGAACGTGTGAGTGTGATAGTAAGTCCGTTTTCAGTTTCAGATTTGTTGATCACTTTGTAGCTTGGATAGTTGGAGGCAAAGAAACACCAGGGTTGTCCTATTCCCAAGTTTTCTGATGCTGGAGAATAGCAGCACCCACGAGCCTCACACTCCTCCTTACTTACACCCTTGTCAGGTGCACAGTCAAACCGGCTGCAGGGAGCCACAGAGCACTGGGAAGGCTGAGGAGCTTTGATATATGAAGTTGCTGTGAAGCAAGCTGTACATGCCATAAAGAGCACACAGGTAGTCAATAGATGTTTCCGTCTATCCATTGTTGTTTGCCTAAACATTCTGAGTCATCTGGAAAGTCCCCTGCAAAAGTCAAAGATGTTCTGTTAAAAGCCCCTTCAATTATGTAACATTATACAACAATACATTCCTAGATGACCCCTCAGACCATTATTGGGACACCTACAGTATATCCCCTGAAGCTAGGAGGGTCAACTAGCATTGTCATTTGCATCATTTACAGTTATGCTCAAAAGTTTGCATACCCTTGGAAAATTGGTAATATACAGTATATATCATTAAAAAAAAGTCAGCAGGCAAAAACACATTTCTTTTATTTCTTATGGGATTTGAGTTCAGCGGTAGGTCATAAACAAAATCATAAAACAAAACACGGCAACAAGTAAACAAATGAAATGACCCCTGTTCATACCCTTAGTTCTTAATTCTCTGTATTGCCCACTTTAGCATCAATGACAGTGTGCAGTCTTTTGTAATAGTTGTCTATGAGGACCCAAATTCTTGGAGGTGGTATAGCTGCCTATTCCTTTGGCAAAATGCCTCCAGGTCGTGCAAAGTCTTTGGTCATCTTGCATGAACTGCGCTTTTGAGATCTCCCCAGAATGGCTGGATGATACTAAGGTCAGGAGACCAAGATGGCCACTCAAGAACCTGCACCTTTTTTCTGCTGTAACCACTAGAGGGTCAACTTGGCCTTGTGCTTAGGGTCATTGTCATGCTGGAAGTTCCAAGAGCGTACCATGCCCAGCTTTCATGCAGAAGAATGCAAATGGTCTGCCAGTATTTTCTGATAACATGCTGCATTCATTTCGCCATCAATTTTCCTAAGATTCCCCATACCTTTGGAGCTCACACATCCCCAAAACATCAGTGAGCCGCCACCACCATGTTTCACAGTGGGGATGGTATTCTTGTCACTATAGTCCTTGTTAACCCCTCTCCAAACATAGCGTTTATGGTTATGCTCTATTTTGGTCTCATCGCTTCAGATTACAGTGTGCCAGAAGCTGTGAGGGATGTCAAGGTGTTCTCAGGCATATTGTAACCAGGCTTTTTTGTGGCATTGGTGCAGTAAAACCTTCTTTCTGGCAACTCGACCATGCAGCTCATTTTTGTTCAACTATTACTGTATTGTGCTCCTTGAAACAACCACACAATCTTTTTTTCAAAGCAGCCTGTATTTTTCCCGAGGTTACCTGAGGGTTTTTCTTTATATCCCGAACAAGTCTTCTGGCAATTGTGGCTGCAGTCTCTCTTAGTCTACCTTACCTTGACTTGGTATCGAGAGATCCCCTAATTTTTTTTTTTGATTTTTAACATATAACAGTGTCCACAAAACCAATCATGACCCAGAGAGAACAAACCTATTATGTGAAATACATACAGTGGGATATAAAAAGTCTACACACACCTATCAAAATGTCAAGTTTCTGTGATGTAAAAAAAAATGAGACAAAGAAATAATTTCAGAACTTTTTTCACCTTTAATGTGACCTATAAACTGTACAACTCAACTGAAAAACATAAAATATTAAAATAATGTGGTTGCATAAGTGTGCACACCCTTCTATAACGGGCTGTAGCTGTGTTCAGAATTAAGCAATCACATTCAAGATCATGTTAAATAGGAGTCAGTACACACCTGCCATCATTTAAAGTGTCTGATTAATCCCAAATAAAGTTCAGCTGTTCTAGTAGGCATTTCCTGACATTTTCTTAGTCCCATCCTACAGTACAAGCCATGGTCTGCAGACAGCTTCCAAAGCATCAGAGGGATCTCGTTGTTAAAAGGTATCAGTCAGGAGAAGGATACAAAAGAATTTCCAAGGCATTAGATATACCATGGAACACAGTGAAGACAGTCATCATCAACAGGAGAAAATATGGCGCAACAGTGACATTACCAAGAACTGGACATCCCTCCAAAATTAATGAAAAGACGAGAAGAAAACTGGTCTGGGAGGCTGCAAAGAGGCCTACAGCAACATTAAAGGAGCTGCAGGAATATCTGGTAAGTACTGGCTGTGTGGTACATGTGACAACAATCTCCTGTATTCTTCATACGTCTGGGCTATGGGGTAGAGTGGCAAGACGGAAGCCTTTTCTTATGAAGAAAAAATATCCAAGCTCGGCTAAAAATTGCAAACACACATCTGAAGTCTCCCAAAAGCATGTCGGAAAATGTGTTATGGTCTGATGAAACCAAGGTTGAACTTTTTGGCCATAATTCCAAAAGATATGTTTGGTGCAAAAACAAAACTGCACATCACCAAAAGAACACCATACCCACAGTGAAGCATGATGGTGGCAGCATCATGCTTTGGGGCTGTTTTTCTTCAGCTGGAACTGGGGCCTTAGTAAAGGTAGAGGGAATTATGAACAGTTCCAAATACCAGTCAATATTGGCACAAAACCTTCAGGCTTCTACTAGAAAGCTGAACAAGAAGAGGAGCTTCATCTTTCAGCATGAAAATGACCCAAAGCATACATCCAAATCAACAAAGGAATGGCTTCACCAGAAGATGAAAGTTTTGGAATGGCCCAGCCAGAGCCCAGACCTGAATCCGATCCAAAATCTGTGCGATGATCTGAAGAGGGCTGTGTACAGGAGATGCCCTCGCAATCTGACAGATTTGGAGTGTTTTTGCAAGAAAGAGTGGGCAAATATTGCCAAGTCAAGATGTGCCATGCTGATAGACTCATACCCAAAAACACTGAGTGCTGGAATAAAATCAAAAGGTGCTTCAACAAAGTATTAGTTTAAGGGTGTGCACACTTATGCAACCATATTATTTTAGTTTTTTTATTTTTACTTCCCTCCACCTAAGAGATTTCAGTTTGTTTTTTCAACTGAGTTGCACAGTTTATAAGTTAAAGAAAAACACAAAAGGGCGCACCCTCCTTGTGCATTACCGTGGTTAAAATGAATTTATTGAAAAAACTTAATAAATGGATACTCACAAAACAAATGTAAAAAACGAACATGAAGCCAAATGGGTCAATGTCACACGACTGGAGTCCTGTGATGATGGTGCCTGGTGGGAAAAAGCTGACACGTTTTGGGAGATCTTTAGAGGGCTGCACCTCGCCAAGTGACAGCATGAAGATTAGAGCTCTGGTGTTTGTTTCCTTCAGTTTATAGGTTACATTAAAAGGTGGAAAAAGTTCTTAAATGATTTATCTTTGTCTCATTATTTTACATCACAGAAACCTGACATTTTAACAGGGGTGTGTAGATCTTTTATATCCACTGTATAAATCACATGGTAATGGTACGACATAGAATACCATCATATTAAAAAAGGAAATAAACGGTCAACCTATGATGGTCCTTTTGTAAAAAAAAGTAGACAAATTCCGAGATACAGTGCCTTGAAAAAGTATTCATACCCCTTGAAATTTTCCACAGACACACTGCTTTAAAACTCATTAAATTGTATTTTTTTTAAATTGCGTTTGAAATACTGCTGCGCAAATATTGCGTGACATAAAAATATGCAACAGCCATCATTTTATTCTCTAGGGCATCTGCTTAAAAAATATATAATGTTTGGGGTTCTAAGTAGTTTTCTAGCAAAAAAAAAATGCAGATTTTTGCATGCAAGACAGAAGTGTCAGAATTAGCCTGGTGGGTAAGTGGTTAATAAAAAATAATTTCCATATACCGTATTTGCCGGCGTATAAGACGACTTTTTACCCCTTGAAAATCTTCTCAAAAGTCGGGGGTCGTCTTATACGCCAGTATACGGCATACTGACACTTTTTAGGGGGGGCGGCGCGGTGCCGCCGCCGCGCCCCCTCCCCCTTTCCAACGGAAGGGACACTAAGTACAGGGGTGGGCAGGGGTTGTTTTTACCTGGCTCCGGCCCCACGACGATCCGGTCCAGGAAGCGCGGCTGCTCCTTCAGTTCGGCCACTGGATGTTCGCGCGGCTGCTCGGCTCCGCCTCCTCACTGGTGATTGGCCGCCAGAACTGTAGCTCAGGAAAGGCACACAGGCGGCCAATCACCGGCGAGGGGGCGGAGTCGAGCGGCCCCACGAAAATCGAGTGCAGGACCAGCAGGTAAGTGGTCAGTGTAGAGGTGCTGCTGCAACCACATATGCTGGCTGCAGCAACACCATACGAGAACAGGGTCAGCAAGTGTCAGCGGGAGGAATAGTGCCCCATCATTGGTGTCACTGATAGCAATGATGGAGCACTATTCCTCCCACGGATACCAATGATGGGGCACTATTCCTCCACTGACACCAATGATGGGGCACTATTCCTCCACTGACACCAATGATGGGGCACTATTCCTCCCACTGACACCAACGATGGGGCACTATTCCTCCCCCCCACTGACTCCAACGATGGGGCACTATTCCTCCCCCCCACTGACTCCAACGATGGGGCACTATTCCACCCCCCACTGACACCAATGATGGGGCACTATTCCCCCCACTGATACTAAATGATGGGGCTCTATTCCCCACTGATACTAAATGATGGGGCACTATTCCTGCCACTGATACCAATGATGGGGCACTATTCCTCCCACTGATACCAATGATGGGGCACTATTCCCCCCACTGATACCAATGATGGGGCACTATTCCCCCCACTGATACCAATGATGGGGCACTATTCCTGCCACTGGTGTGCACTGCAAGAGGGGTAGTCTTATACGGCGAGTATAGCCCAAACACTACATTTTAGCAGGAAAAGTAGGGGGTCGTCTCATACGCTGGCAAATACGGTAGTTAATATGTAAATGGGACATTCATACTTGTACAATAAATATGCAGGCACTGCTTTCTGCTATGTAATACTACACACCCTGTCTTTACTGCTCCATCTCACAAAGCAAACCTGCAAGTCGGTCAGCTCATACTCCCTGTGTGACATATCAACTGTTGTTACACAAAGTCATTGTAGTAAATAATCTACAAATCTCTATGTTTAATGCAATAAAAATATGAAAGCGCAAGAAAGTAAAACCTAAGGTTGGCCATACATTATACAATTTTCCTTTAGCTCTGCCAAAACCATATAATATGAGGTCCAATCCAAACACCTTCAATTTGTATACAATCAGGAAGGCCCTTGCACTACATAATTGAAGGTAAATCTAAAGGAAATGGAACAAGAAAATTGTATATGTTGTTATGTTATGACCAGCTTTAATGTTACTTTACGATCAACTGCACAGATGGCTCAAAGCTTGGGCTGAATAAAAGTGCATTATAGTTGTGGTTATCATATCTGCTTTGCAGCACTGGTGTCCTCAGTTCAAACCCTGGCCAGGACACGATCTGCATGAACTTTGTGTGTTTTCCCTTTGCTTGTGCGAGTGTCATTCCATATATCAAAAACATGCTAGTAGGTTAACTTGCTCCTGTCTAAATTGGCCCTAATGTGTGTGGGTGTCTATGTACGTAAGTGAAAGAGGGACCTAAGATAGTGAGCTCTTTTAGGGTAGGGATTGGTGGTAATGTACATTATATATAATGCTGCGTTAAATTGTCAGCGCTATATAAATGCTTATAATAACATGATAATAAGATTTCTCTTTGCAAAAAAAGTAATAGCATTTAATACCACAAGGTGGCAACATAACGGACAAAAAGCTTTGGTCAAATGCAAATTTATTCTTAGGCCCCATGTACAGGGACACTTCTAAACGATTGAAACTGACTGCTGGAAAACGTAGGTTAAAAAAAAGTCTGTTTTGCTGCGTTTGCATAACGCGTTTATGTGCGTTTATTAACCACTTCCAGTCCGGACACTTTCACCCCCTTCCTGACCAGGGCAATTTTCAGCTTGTATTCACCGCTGTGTAGCTATGGAAGGAACCTCGGCTGCGGCCAGGACCTTTTCCATGGCCAGGCTCTGCAGAGACGCAAGGCTGCCTAGGACTCCCCTTCTCCCAGAGCTGGGGAAAACTCTCTGCTAGACTCCAGGGGTCCGTGAGTACAAGCCCTCTGCCTGCTCACTTGAACTGTTCTTGTGCTGACCATCACACCAACCCCCCCTGTTGGATTACAAAATGGCTGTAGAGGCTTTAGCTTTGCCCACGGGGCTGGATTACAAATATTTTGAACTCTCTCTCTCTGCACAACTCCCCATTGAATGACTGTTGTCTGCTTTAATAAAGCTTTGAGTGTTTGCCGTCTGCCTTGTGTGTTCTGTCCCACTTACCCTCCGTCAAACTGGGGTGCTGTTGTGAATAGCCTTGTACCATGTGACCTCTGTGGTCATTCACAGATTTCACACGTAGTAAGCAATGATGTCAGAAGTGACATCTTGCTTACTACTTTGCATGTGATCACTGATTGGCCAATCAGTGATCACATGATCGGAGTCCGACTATCGGTGTTTCACTGTGTCCGGAGGATACGTCGGGCACCGGATCGCGGTGATGTGCGCTCCCGGAGAGCACGCACAAGCAGGGTGTGGGGAGGCCATTTATAAATGGTCACCCGACCCTGCAGTGCCACCGTCCGGCCGTTTATATACAACGGCCGGTCGGGACGTGGTAAAAGATAAGCACAGGAGAACCTCCCAAATGCCCAGAATGCACTGAAAAGTGGTAAATTATTAACTATTTCAGAGAAATACAGAGAGTAGAAGCAGAGACAGCAGTATGTGTTGATGTTAGCTTAGGTGTGAGATGCTCAGTAACATTTCTTTTGTTTCCAAGGGTGGGAAAGGTGTCTGCTGGAGTGAGTCATTAAGGCCACCTGGCAGGGGGTCTTCATGAGGAACTTGAGGTGTGAATGGTCATTAACATATCTTTTGTTTCCAAAGGTGGGAGAGGTCTGAGGTGTGAATTGGTCATTACAATGTGTGACAAGCTTGGTAAGGAGTACCTTAGAAACACTTTGCATGCATTTTTCATGATGAAAAAAGGCTCTGGACAGCATCGGGAACTGGAAGAGTTAATAAAAAAATTTGCAAACGCTTATAAACACGATTTGCCGCATTTACAAGCGTTTTTGCATTTGAAACACTGATAAAATCAACTGCTGAACGCAAGTTTTCTGCGTTCAAAAAACGACTGTAAACTCAAATGCCTGTAAACAACTGTAAACGAAGATGTGTACATAGACACCTAGGAAAACATTAGGGTTGAGTTCAGGGGCTGCTGAAAAAAAAAACGCTGAACAGCTCCTAAGCGTGAGTTTATCAGCTGCATTGTACATGAGCCCTTAACGAGGAACTAAACGCTGTCAATCAATGCTACCTATTTTTAATCCTCATGTTGTTAGAATTAGTAAATACACTCAGGTCCATAAATATTGGGACATCGACACAATTTTAACATTTTTGGCTCTATACAGCACCACAATGGATTTGAAATGAAACAAAGGAATCGCGCCTGTATCCTGGATATTGTGGCACGCGCGCACTCCGGGAAAATGGCGCTTTTTGGAGACATTTCTCATTGCCAAGATGGCGCACGCTAATTTGCGCGTCCGCCAATTTTTTGCTATAAAAGGACACTGCTTGACGTCTTGCACTGTAGGCATACCCCCTATGAATACGTGCGGTTGCACGAAACGCGTCAGCTTGGAGCTACAGTGCGGTGACGTCACGCCGCCAGCACCAAGTGGATCCCGGTGGCCATCTTGGATCCATATCTGAGCCATGGTTAAGGAAGTGAGTGCCATACCTGTTTACTGAGTGAGCAGAGATACAGCGGCAGACCAGACCATACTTCAGAAGGAATCCCATGTATACCTTAAGAGGGGTTATCACTTACATGCGCATACTGATTGTGCATCTGGTGAGTGCGCAGTCTTTTATCAGTTTTTGACACCATCACCTTCTGTATATACCGTTAGGATCCTTGTGCGCAGTGACACGGATACTCATTACATGTGTGGACTGTTTTCTCTTTTTGCACTTCATTTATGCACTATGGTGTGTTACATATAGACGTAATAGGAACTAGTGAGCACACTAAGTCACTAGATTGATTAACCATTATATATACTGTGTATATGATTTCTTAGCACTGCACCCTTCATTTATCTAGTTTTTTTAGATTGTTTGGTGCCTTTTGGTGTTCAGCAGCTGCAACAACCTTTAGCGCTCACTTATTTTACTACGTATGTATACAGACATGTTTGTTTTACACCGCCTGCATCCGATCCTATCAGCTAATAACAGACAGCCAACAGGAAAGCAGGCTGTGTCCATGTCTACTCCGCTTATGCAGTCATCCGGCTGCTCAGGGATGCTCGGCTGTAAAGAAAGCTGACGATCGGATCCATTCTGCGGGGAATGTCGGCTTGCTTTACAAGTTACCTTTTTGTGGAGCGGGTCCGGTGTCACCCTGTGCGGCCGCACCCCCCGCACCTGCCTCAGGACGCCACTGCAATATATCCCTGTGATCCATAATGAATATATAATTGTGGCATATAATGAAGCAATCCCAATACTTAGCAGCTCAGTCTTTAGCCATTATTTGTGATATCTGTATATATCGCTGTGACCTATAACAAATATACAGTATATTGGCAAGATATCACAAAAGCAATTCCAATAATTAGCATATCCAACAAATAGCAGACTGTCTGTCTTTATTTATTATGTGTGATATCTGCATCTGTCACTGCTATCTATACCACAGGCCAACACACATTTTGGTAACTTGAATGTTAGAACTGTTCCAGGCTATATTTGACCTGCGGATTTAAAAAATGGCAACAATTTTTTCCCTATCAGCTCTAATACTTGAGATAGAGCATAAATGCCATATACCACTCTTCACTTTGGCCTTCATTCTGGCCGCCCGTCAAAAATCACGATATTTTAATGTAGTGTTTTAGCGAATCTTCTTGAAGCATACAAGAAACACATTAAAATGGCTCAACTTGCAACAATATGATATACACACACATCTCCTATATGATTGTAACTATAATATAGTTAAAGGAGAAGTACAGGCAAAGCTCTTTTGGCTGTACTTATCCCGTGGATCACAGGAGTGCAGTTAATTCTGCACTCCTGTGACCTGTTTTCAGGTAATAGCAGACTGAAGCCCACATCAGCTAACGTCACTCAGCCAGTCCAGGCTGGGGAAAGAACCTGACTTAAAAGTCGTGATCCACCCCAGAGTCTGGAGCGGCACCTGGCTCAGCCTCTCAACGATCTGCTGAGAGCCTGAGCCAGCTTCTCCCTCTCCACAGCCCAGCACTCCAGTGAGCATGTGCAGAGGGGGCACAGCAGACAGCTGACTGACAGTTATCGCTCTCTACTCGCAGCAGCTGTGAGAACTCAGCGATCAATGGTCATGTGATTGCTGAGTTCTCACCCTTAGAGCCGGAGGGGGACAGATGCAGCATCG